ACTAATATTAAGAAATTCAAATTAATACTAGGAAGTAGCTGTTATAACTATAAAAAAACCATAAAATAAAAATAGGTAAGATTAAAATATAATAAATAATTAAAACGGTCAATATAAATTACCTTTGTTGAGCTCAGCAAAAAGTGAAACGATCCTGTCAACGATGACATCGCCACGTCTAAGTAAAAGAGATAATAACAGATTTATATATACGAGCATTAACATTGCGGTGACGACTCTTGGAAGAGAAGGAAACAAAGTTTTATTTTCATAATAAACCGCAGTAGCTGTTGTCCAAATATTCCTTTTGAGAGTTAAGTCCATGCTTTTGAAATTTAATGTAAATCATTTCTGATATCAGGCGTTTCAAGTAATAACGTTCTTCATGCAAAACTTTGGCTTGATCCCAATTGAAATCATGGTTTTTCCTCAAACGGTGTTCTTGTATGGCCGTTAACTGTAGAACTCCTTAGTATTCTCCTATGCTCAGCAATGCACGTAGAGAGTCTTCTACTAGTTTGACGAACATACGACGCAACTACTGCATTGCAATTTATACACAATGTTATTATAGAAACCAGGTTATTATGGAAAAACAGGTTGCCTCCTGGTTTCCATAATAACGTTGTGTATAAATTGCAATGCAGTAGTTGTGAGGCGTTGTATGTTGGTCAAACCAGTAGAAGACTCTCTACGCGCATTGCTGAGCATAGGAAAATACCAAGGAGTTCTACAGTTGAGTTAATGGCCATACAAGAACACCGTTTGAAGAAAAACCATGATTTCAATTGGGATCAAGCCAAAGTTTTGCATGAGGAACGTTATTTGCTTGAAACGCCTGATATCAGAAATAATATACATTAAATTTTAAAAGCATGGACTTAACTCTCAAAAGAACATAGAATATTTGGGCAACAGCTACTGTGGCTTATTATGAAAATAAAATTTTGTTTCTTTCTCTTCCAAGAGTCGTCGCCGCAATGTTAATGCTCGTGTATATAAGTCTGTTATTATCTCTTTTACTTAGACGTGGCCATGTCATCGTTTCACTTTTTGCTGAGCTCAACAAAGGTAATTTATATTGACCGTTTTAATTATTTATTATATTTTAATCTTACCTATTTTTATTTTATGGTTTTTTTTATAGTTATGGCTACTTCCTAGTATTAATTTGAACTTTTTAATAGTAGTGGGGTAACAGTCTTGTCAGCTATAATACTGCGAATAACATTCATTTTATTAAGGTCTTTAAATTAATTCTTTTACTTGTAATGCGTTTGTTTTGTAAACTTTAAGTTTTTTTTTTATATCACTGAAGAGGGTTCATGATTGAGCCAAAACGTTTGATTATTTATATTGAGTATTTATGTTCAATAAATATTGCTCTATTTCCTAACACAAGGAAGGTTTTACCAATATGATACATAGCACTATTAATCCTGTGCTTGAACTCGAATTAGCCCTTTTTCCTATTATTTAATTGATATCCTTGTTATTGAGTTCTTATTTTCTTTCTCTTAATCATTAAATATAATTTTGATACTGTTGTGTTAGAAATGTACATAAATTAGAGAATGTAATTTTAAGTAATAACAAAAAATATATATTTCTCTTGCATAACATACATTCTGCCCTTATCTCTTATCACGACACTACTGCCTGCTTATTCATTATTGACGAAAATTTTGCAATAGTCGTTTCTTCGGACGTCGTAAGATGGCAGGAAAATATCTCATATTTCCTGAATGCTGGGGCTGTGCGGTATACCATACTGCGATAATGCAGTTAGCTACGATAGGAGATATTTATGATCACTTTATAACAGTGTCAAACTAATTCATGTGTAAAATACAATAATTTGTGAACTTAATATGTGATAGTGTATCTGTTAAAATCGTACAAATAGTATAATTTATAAAACAGCATTCAAAATAGAAGTAGGTTCTATAGCAATATCTTAACCTAAATCTAAATTTTTGTTTAAATATTGTAATAACTTTACTAACTTATATATTTACTAATTTATGTGTTTAGAGATACTATAACAATATCATAGCCTAAGAACTTATGTTTATAAAATATATAAGTGGAATGTTTTACCAAGAATGAAGATAACATGATATAATATTTATAATGTTTGTTATTCTTCTTCTTGAATTTCAAGTTTAACAAAATTAGATAACGTATCCATACGTATCCATACTTCTACTGAGAGTGAGATCAAAAGATTCTGTGAACAATGGCTGCAACAAGAGAAAGACGGTCAAATGCTGGAAGTAAAATGGCAAGATTATTAAATGAAGAGGAGGAAGATGAGTTTTATAAAACTACATATGGTGGCTTCGATGAAGTGGAACAAGATCATGATTACATGTTATTATATATATGATATCTATATAATGATAACTTATGACAGATTGTATAAAATTTCTTTAATTTCAGGGAAGAAGATGAAGGAGAAGATGAGGTAGACTCTGATTTTAGCATCGATGAGAATGATGAGCCAGTTTCTGATACTGAGCAAGAAGGGCCAAAAAAGAAACGCAGACTGGTAACGAAAGCTTATAAAGAACCTAAAGCTGCATCATCACATATTTCATCAACACCAAAGGAAAAGAAAATAAAACAGCCGAAACAAACTAAAACTTTTATCGATAGTATAGGTAATATACAATACATTATAGAATGAATATTTATATTCACAGTGTGGTTATATACATTGTGATATTCTATGTAGAAAGAAAGTCGATACGTCGATCTACTGCTGCAAAGTCAGCAGCTACACAAAAACGCTTACGTGAAAGAAATGAAGATCAAAAACGGAAGATAAAGGTTGTGAGGTATGATGTGTGGAAACCAACGCAAGAGGAATTACTAGAAGAAGCATTGCAAACAGAGGAAGTTAATATGAAGTCGTTAGGTATATATAAAAAAAATGCATATCCAATATCCTTTTCTTCTTTTATTTAGGTACCTTCTTTTTTATTTAAGAAATAACTACAATAATTTTGTTCTCTATTACAGAAAAATATCAAAAATTAGAAAGTGAAAAGAAGAACACTAGGACTGTAAGGAAAACACATATCGGTCCCATGATTAGATATCAATCATTGTCTATGCCAGTTATGGTGTTATCTGAGACAAGTACGGATGATAAGGATGAAAGGATTAATGTCGATTGTGATGACGACAAAAATACAAATGCAGTCTCTAATGGTACAAGTTCTGAAGTCATGAAAGATGGAAGGTACACACATAGTATGAATTTTCTCTTTTTTTTTTACAATAATATTGTGTTATGCACAAATAACGAAATATTATTTTCTTATTTCTGTAAATATATTTCAACACAACAACGTTCGTTACATATGTGTAACATATAAATGTAAAAGAATATTGGACACTTAACATTATCATTTTATTTGTTTGATGTATAATAGTGGAACAGAGTTAAAAATAGAAACAGATGATAAGGAGAAACCTGCCGACGCAACAGTTCCCACCTCTGCTAAAAAGAAAGATGTTCGTGGCGAAGAAACTGGAGCGTTTTACGAGCGCACCTTTATTACCTTTGAAAACGACCAGTCATATCAAAGTGTATTCAAAAAATCCACACAACAAAGGCCACCTTTAAAACCTCTATGCGCAGTCACGAGGTAGGAAATAATATTGAATAGATAATAAATTATGCCAAAATCAACTTTGTACCTTAAGTAAATAAAGATTTCCTTTAATTGTTTCTTATAGGCTGCCTGCTAAATATTTAGATCCCATGACACAGTTGCCATACAAAAACGTACAAACCTTTCGATTGCTCCGAGAAGCGTATTATCAACAGTTAGAAGCTCGCAGTGACATTAATGATACCTCTCAAAATCCAGAATTATTGCGGTGGCTCGAATCGCGACAGAAAAGTCACGGTAATTCGCAGAGAAACACCATCCGTTTGGAACCGGCATCTTTACCTCCACCTCCGTAACTTTTTTACTGGTAAGTAACAGCACAAAATTATATGGTGCTTGTGTTTTCTGATTCTCTTTCAACATAATGCAAAATATTCCACATTTTCAGTAAACTCGAGTAGTACTGACTCTAGTATTAACATTTCGGAACGTAAATTATGTTTCATTAAGAGAGCACGATACGTAACAACACCTTAATACAATTTACAAAATGTACTTATTCGAAATTTGTTGTTCGAGGTTTCTATGAAAAATCCTCTTTTGCTTTTTATAATAAAATTTTTAACGAAAATTAATAAGAGCGACAATAAATCATTCCCAACTATTTAACGCCTCTTTCATAGATTGATTATCGTTTTATTTATAAGTTGTGTAGATAATTAATATTAACGTTTAATTAATTATCCCTGATATTTCACGATAGTGTTTACTATTAAAATATACATAAAAATTTGCTATATACTACATTGTATATGTTTAATGTAAATAAACAAGTCGTTAACTTAATTTCTGACAGAATATTATATAATTATTTTTATAAAATATGTATTCTGTTTCACATTTTTTCACCTTCTTGTATGATGTATGATGTATCTTGTATGATGTATCTTTGTAATATCAATTTCAAAGTATAGTAAGTTACAAAACTGTGAATATAGTTTATGTCCTGTGATTATATATTACAATATTATATATTGTATAAAATAATATATATTGTTATAATAAAAAAAAAATTTGCTTTTTGTTTAATTGCAGTTGATCTTTACATCTGACAGCAACATTGTACTGCACAAGTATTTTATTTGTGACTTACTATCACGAACAGTTTGTGAAAGACTATTGAGTAATTAGTATATACAGTGTGATGCTTTATTTTTCGCAAGTGTTAACGGCGACTGATTTTACTGTGTCGATATGCTGTCGCAGTATGAAAATGATTAACACCATTCAAGTATTCTGTAGATATACTCATTACAAATATCCGTCCTTTTTAAAAGCAAATTTGGTTTTTTATTAATAAAATAATGAAATACAAGGCATTATCAATAATAATCTATGTTGTTGTAGATATAATATCCCTTTTTTTGTATGTAATGAAATGAGAGAGGATAAAACAATCTTATAATATTTTAAATTATTCTTCAATATTCAACTGTATAAATCTATTTCACTTAGCATAAAGAAAATGAAATTCGCTTTCCCTAAGTTTTGTAGAGTTCAATACAGCCTAAGGATACATTAAATCAAAGGTATATCTGTAGAAAACTATGGTCACTTCGACATTGCTTGTACACATTACAGTTTTGAATTGTCCATAATAAAGTAATAAGCCTGCTATATCAAATAGTAATTATGTTTGCAATTATCTTATCATCTTTAAGATTGCTTCGAGAAACAACGTTGTATTATTTCTCATTCTCTTACAACGAATATATATATATATATATATATATATATATATATATATATAT